CTCAGAATACATGCATGTTACTGCTGAGCTATAGTTAGTGAGCTCCTGAGTTCCTGAGAGGACCACAGATCAGCCTGGCACAGGAGGCACATCTCCCACAGAAGCTCATCACTTTGTAGGTGGTGGTTTATAAGACACAAGGAGGTCTTATAGCCAGGTGGGCCTGCTGAGCTCTGAGATGGGCAGCACTTGGATCCCCAGTAACTCTTCCAAAAGAGCTTGCCTCCTTGTGAGGAGGAAGTTTCCACAATTTTCTCCTTCCACACAGATGAGACATTTTAAAGAGGTAGAATCTTGCCTGTAATACAATTGTTTGGTTGTTTCACCTACTTGTGTGGGCAGTAGTATCCCAGAGGGAGCTGGGAAATACTTCCTTGTACAGAATCAAGACATGGAACCAGCTGCTTTCTGTGTAGAACTGCAGAAGGCTCAAATTCCCTCAGAGAAGGTAGCTGAGTTAGGGCACTGGAGTCCCTGCCTGTCAAAGAGGGAGACTGCTGCTGGGAGGGAAGCAGTAACTTCCAATTGCCAGTCTCCACTGATTTTGAGCATATCAGAAGCCCAAAGCCTGTATTCCTCTCAGAGGCATGATATATTTAATCCACTGTTAGGCAGCATCTTGTTTCAGAGAGGGACAGGTGCTTGCTACCTACTGTTAAGTCCAAGCCATTTTCTCATTTGATAAGGGAGACCTTATCACTCTACAACTACCTGAAAGGTCGTTGTAGTGAGGTATCAGTCTCTTCTCCCAAGTAACAAATGGTAGAAAAAAAGAAAATGGCCTCAAGGTGCACCAGGTCTAGATTAGGTATTAGCGATAATCTCTTCACTGAAATGGTTGCCAAGTGTTGCAACAAGGTGCCCAGGGCAGTGGTTGAGTCACCATCCCTGGAAGTGTTTAAAAGATGTGTAGATGTGGCACTTAGGGACATGGTTTAGTGGTGGACTTGGTAGTGCTACATTAACGGCTGGGTTTGATGATCTTAAAGGTCTTTTCCAACCTAAACAATTCTATGAGTCTGTGTTGTGGTGGTTATCACTATAGCCAATGGTTGTGGGTTGATCCTGGCTGGCAACTGAGCTCCTACCCAGTCATTTGCTAACTTCCCCACGGTGGGATGAGGTAGAGAAGCATAGGGCAGAAGTAAGAAAAAACTCACGGGGTAAGGTTTTTATAAAACAGTTTAATAAGTGATGAGGCAAAAAACCCCAACAAGCCAAAACAGAAAAAAACTCAAGTGATGCAAAGACAATCACTCACCCGCTACAGCAATTTAGTATTGGATGTAGTGGCTGCAGGAACTGATAGGATTTTGCTGCACCTTACCTCCTACTTGTTGGCAAAGAGAATTCCTTTCACCACAAGGCCCTCACTGTCACTGTATTTCCATATGCAAGAACTGTGGTTAAGCTTGCAGAGGCCATTTGAATTTCGCTGTAAAGGTTGATCCTGTTAAGCAATTGAAGCCACAGCTCCCTCAATTGTTTGTTGAACAAGGAGGCACTGTGGTTATAAGATCACAACTATCAGCCCTGGTTTACAATTTTTATGACTGCTAATGGAACAAGATTTGAGGACTGAAGGAGAAAATGGAATATGAAAAGGAAAATGAAAAGAGGCTGTGAGGAAAGCATGTCATTTCTAAATGAATGCTCTGTGCAAAGGAATTGAATCTTTTCACAGCTGAAAATGGATCTTAAATCTGATGCCTTAGCTTGTTTCAGCTTCTCTAATGAAATAGAGTTTTCCTAATACCCTGTGACCTGAATTTCTCCCTGCTTTATGGGTGCTATTCCTTGACGTACAAACCCGTATTTTCTCAAGTCAGCATTTGATGATGGATGTCAAAATACAGGTCATGTATTATGCATATAGCATTACCGATTTAAGGTGTTTACTTGTCAAGTTGAAGAAATTCAGAAATGTCACATTCACTGAATCTGCACAGCTGTCACTTGCAGTTTTTTATGCCTTAAAATGAAAGTTCTGATAAAGCAGGTTAGTTTTCCTGCACTTTTTTTTTTTTTTTCCCTT